CATAGTGTGCATGCTTGGAGCATGGGATAACTATTGTTTTAATTCAAGTATTTAGTTGATAAATCGAAACATTATACAATGAATAATGTGTAATCAATATGGTGATTAAATAAAAGGTGTTTTATTTATATTGAAAAGTTTTGAGACCATATTGGGTTCGATTATTCCTATTTTTCACTTTGCATATTTTGACTTCCCGAGTAACTAGGTTATTCAAACTATCCACAGTCGATCATACTTTAGAAGTATGTATTGAGGCAAGACTGTCATGAATTCGTCTGCAGATTGTCTAAAGCGTTTTAGACATTGCACAAGTTTGCTACAGTGTTCATGAGTACTTCTGGAATAAGATTCAAGTATTGGATTAAACCCATGCTCATCTTAATCACTTCATGGATTTTATCACGAGTGATTGTGAGACGATAATATCTTATATTCTTGAAACCAAGACATGTGAGTTGTAGTTTACAAGTAGGTTGCACATTGACATATGTAAACGCACCAGTAACTTGGTGTTATAAAACATATTATTGTGTGTGATTTGATAAGTAATTACAAGCAATCATTTGAGTCGAAGTTTATCCATTCCTTTTACCCAATGTGGGATAAAAGTGATACCTGTGGACCCCTCGATGATTTAGTGATGACACCCTAAGTGCTTGGCCAAGCCTGTACTGATTTGATTTGTTCAATTGGTTAGTCGTCATAAATCGGAAATCAGAAAACAACATATGAACAGAGAGAATGATTATAATCTATGTCTCAGTTCATACGATATCTAGAATGGAGGAATATATGACCCCTTACCTAATGGACGCGTCATTTGACTAGGTTAAAGTTTGACAGTGGCTTTTGAGAGTTACGATTGCTATTCAGGATTTGGAGTCGTACTTGCAGTAATATTTATTAGACTTATCCAAGTGGGGGACTATTGGATTAGGTGTCTAAGCCCATAACTATAATCGGTATGTACTTGACCCGAGAGTAGCATGGTCTATTTGGGTTTCCTTCACTAGAACAATCTGATAGGATGGATATTTGAGAAAGAGGTAATTTATAATTTATTAATATATTACAAGTATAATATATTAATTAAGGAATCATAATATTTAACTAGTATTGATAAAGAATTAATTTGGAATTAATTTAGTGATCAAAAGATACTATTTAAATTAACGGGGACTGATTATGTAAATTAGTGACATATATATTGTTTGGTCTATTGATCCATGATGGGCTAAGTTTATGTAAGTATCCATAAGAGTTAGCCCACATGATATATGGATCAAAACCCAAGTGTATGATTAGGGTTTACCCATGACTCTTGGAATCCTACACTATATAAATGTTACCCCTTAGCCAAAATCGATATCGAATGCATTTTAAGAGAATCATAATCGACTTTGGTGGTGTCTAGACTCTATCTCAAAGTCTTCCTTTGTTCATGGTGTTTATGAACCATTTGAGGCATCACACTTGAGGTGCTAAGCTCTTGAAAGGCTAAAACTACAAGCTACAATAAAGAGGTATTATTCTAACTAGGTTTATGATTCATGAACCAAAAACTGTATGCTAGTTGTAGGCTTCATGCTTTGGGAATTTTTGTTGCATGTATAACTAGAGAAAACAAAGATCCAAAGCTATTATGGTTGTATGTGCACCATAGGAGTGTTATAGTACTCAAAACCCAACACAACTCAACGAGTTGGTCTAGGTTTGGGAAACCCTAGATTCAGGGTTTTGCACCTTATTTAAGCATCTTAATCCCCACCTTATGGCCTCATTTCCAGCCTCCAAGTCCTAAACCCTAATCCAGGAAACCCTAGAGTAGTTTGTGAGTGTGTGAGCCATTATTGAGTGATTTTGTGTGTTCTTGAAGCTTAAAGAAGAAAAAGGAGCTAGAAGGTTCAAGTAGAAGATAGTAGATCCATATATTTCCTTCCATCATCATCATTTTATGGTAATCAAATCTCTAGCTTGGCTATTAGTTCATTAGATCCCCTTATTTCCATTTTATGAGGGTTTTGCTTCAAGAATATTGATCATTGGGATATGGACGTCCCAAGTGGCTTACCTTTTAGATTTGGGACCTAGAAGGGGTTTCATGGCTTAAAGGTGCAAACTTTATGGCCATGGAATCCCCATGCAAGCTTAAGGACGTTGTTATGGCCTTTTAAGCCCCAAAAGCCCATGCATGGAAGTAAAGTCTAAGACTTTACGTGTTCATTTGGTGTCCAGGACTTATATCTCGGTTTTCATGCTTTGGGTTGGAGTAATAAGGCTTTTGGACAAAGATCTATGTCCTAAGGAACTAGGGTTTTAGATAAACCCACTAAGAAGGATTATTAGCGGGTAAAGTTAGAAACTTAACCCTTAAAAGGGCACTTCCAGTGTGTAGATGAAGTATGGACTTTGGATCTGGAGAGTAGAGGCTTAATTTGTTGAGATGGCCCAAACAGATAGAGAAACTTGTCAAGTCCATAGAGGAACTCAAAGAATTGAGTCGTGTTGTCCTAGTTTAGTTTAAGGTAGAACTCGACGAGTCTGTGAAGGGACTCGACTAGTTGATTTGCCAAGTAGCGAGTATGAGTAGCCAGGGAACTCGGCGAGTCTGGGGGATGACTCGACGAGTTGGATCACGATTTCAGGATTCTGGTTTATAGAACTCGACGCGTTGATGGAGCAACTCAGCGAGGTGAGTCAACTCGGGGTATTGACTTTGACTTTGACCAAGCGTTGACTTTAACTTTGACCAAGGGTAAAATGGTCATTTTACCATAAGAAGGATTATCACTTCTTGACTAAGTATTATGTTGGTATTGATAGCTCGGGGAGTCGAGTGACCAGCAGTTCGGGGATCTGCCAGCTAGCTACGAGAGGTTCATCCGCGAGATTATGTAGTCAGCTTGTGAAGGTGAGTTTTCTCCAGAAGGAATGGGTCGAAGGCACCAATGCCAGCCCGTTTATGTATGTTAGTGTATGCCGGATTAGATCCGATGTTGGGGAGATCCCGATGTAGCTTATATGTTTCTGGATTCTGATCCGATGTCGGGCAAGGCCCGAGGAAAGTTTATATGTATGTTTCCGGACTATAGTCCGATGTCGGGTGGTACCCGAGGAATGAATGCATGGTTAGTTATACTTGTTATTTTTGTGATACTTGTATGTGCCTAGTAGGGAGGTGAATGTGGTCGAGGTACTGTATCTCATCACTAGTTGAGTATGGACGTGGTTCTATGTCTTATTATTAGCAGAGTAGAGGCAGGGCCCAAGATAGACGGGGCCTTAAGACTAGCAGTTATAGTGTTGTGTTTGATTGTTATGTACTAGCATGATTATATGTTATTGTTTGTATGTGTATAGCGGGAGGGGCCCAGAGACAGGCGGGGCCTAGTAGAAACATATATGTATACTGAGTGGGGCTCGATGCTAGGCGGGGCCTTATGCCGGATTCTTCCGATGTTGGGCGGGGACCGAGGTAGCGGGCTAGGCCTAATGTATGTTGATATGCGCTTATGTGTATGGTATGTGGTAGCTTGGGGAGACTCACTAAGCTTCGTGCTTACACTTTTCAGTTGTGGTTTTAGGTACTTCAACTTGCCAGGGGAAGAGTTCGGGATGACTACATGGCACACACCACATCTTTTAGCTTAGGATAATTTACTCTGATAATTTGATAAATGCTTTTTATATAGTATTTTGTTATGATGATTTGAGATACATGAATTATGATCTTTATTGCGATGTTATATGAATTATGGTTTTCTTAAATGAATGTCATCGTGCGCGCCCCCATCGGGATGACTACATGGCACACACCACATCCCTGAATGTCATCGTGCGTGCCCTCATCATGGACGCCATATTAGTGTGGAATACACCCAATCTCTCATCCAAAATCTCCAAAATATCCTCCTTGACCGTATCGAAGATCATAGGATTCTGGTCAAGGATACTACACATGATCTCATATGAGATGAACTCCTTCATCTGATCATCGAGTTGCCCGACTCTAGATCCCGAGCCTGATCCCTCGCCTGCGCCAGAACAACCAACTGGCCTACTGCGTAGCGTCACCATACTGAAAATACACAATAACAATCATCAAAATACTCATCATAACTCGAGGGATCATACATGCTACAAGTTCCCTGGCTTCATCTCATCCCTCCTTGACTTGAGTACAGATCCTCTGCTTTCAGTAGTACGAGCCCATACTACTTTCCACATCTATCTGTACTTTCCTCAAGAATTGCCTTGACTCCACCAAGTCGCTTTCACTACTACTGCTCTCAGCGCTAATCTCATCCTAGGCTTGCCCTAGGGTAATCTCCGTTCCCACTCTCCACCATCAGCTGCAGGAGAATTCGTTGCTACCTTTCCCTAACTAGCTCACAAATACCATTACATACTACTAAGACCAGATAATTCTTCGAATGATAGGTCTCTCCACTACTAGAAAAACAGTCTTTTACGACGCTCATTGCGCGTCGTAAAGGGCTCAGACGACGCGCAAATGCGCGTCAAGGAAGGCCCTGTCATAAAGAGAGACGACACGCTTTTTCGCGTCGTATATAGACGACGCGCATTTACGATGCTCATTTACGGCACGCAATTACGACGCACGTTTACGACACGCAATGCGTATCAACAAAGGCCCTGTCATAAAGGAAGACGACACGCATTCGCATTTCGTAACCTTACGACGCGTGTGTTAATGACACGCAATGCATATCAAGAAAGACCCTGTCAAGAAAGGCCATGTCGTAAATGAAGATGACACACACTTTTGCGTATCATAATTTTAAATGTTTAAAAAAAATTATTTATAGGTTTACTAATTTTCAAATTAAAATTCCATTTAATGTCTCATAATAGAAAATAAAATACCATATACAAAAAATATAATACATTGCACTTGTTAATGTCATACAAATAATCATTCCAATAGTAGACAAATGGATAAATCTCAAAGGGATCAAAAATATGTTTGTCTTCTATTAGAACTTATACACAAGAAAGAAGGTGTTTGAATTCAGAAAATGTCTCAGCAACTGAATTGGCCTTGGAAGCTTGACTGCAACTGAGATAAGGATACCATGTTTACTCTTCTTAAGCTTACTAAACAAACTTGACAATAAGATAATATAAAACTGAATTATTATTAAGATTAAGCCACAGATGCACTCAAGCTATGCATACCAATGGTGATGGTCTTTCATCAGCTGCACGTGGAAACCCACTACCATAAACAGAAGTATCAAAAAACTGCTTTATTCAAAAAACTCAAATTACTATTGTAATCATAATAAAACACACCGATTATGTATAGTTTTATACAAGAAGTGTTCCAGATCATTATTTTAGTAATAATGAATAAGAGAGGATACATTACTTACTTTATACTTGAATAACTCATTGAGATCTTTTCTTAAGTTGTGATACAGTTCAGCCAATGAAGGTTCCATGAAGAACTCCAAGTATCCTCCCAACATTTTCAAGTGCCCATCCTGTTTCATATCATGAAATGGAATGGAATCAAAAAGGAATGGAGTAAGAAAAGGTAATAGACTCACTAAATCACCTTTTGAGATGCTTCCACCAAATAGTAGCAGGACGAAATCGGAAACAACAGTCGTATCCAGGAGAAAAATAAAGTTCACTTTGATCTTCTCATTAAAGACCAACCACGGGAATGGAATTTTCAAAGCCTGGGAATTAACCAAGTTCTATAGCATTAAAAAAATTCAGATTAAAAAAACTATAAGAATTTAGAAAAACGAACTTACCGGTGTAAAAGCATCTGACCATCCGCCACGGTTTTCAGCGAGAATGACTTTTCATTATGTTGATGTCAACAAAAGCAAGTTATTATTTATAAATAAATTGTTTAAAAACAAAAGGGAGAATGACTTTTCCTTCTAAGAACTTATGTCATCCCACCTAATCATAAATACCAAAAATACCCCTTGCTTTTCACTCCCACATATACTCAATAGTAGAAACTCAATGAGATTGAATCCCATGAATTCATGCAATCAGGATTCCAGCATGACATTTAGAGCATCAGTAACTCTATCCTTATTCTCACCAACTTCAGCTTCACTCGCTCCTCCAATCTGACCAATCATAGCAACACATCATTTACATAACAAAATTATTTAGAAATAAAACAAAAATAAGAATCATACCTTCAAAACAACAACACCACCAGAAAGTTTTGCTAATCTCTCTTGGAGCTTCTCATTATCATAATCAAAATTGCTTTAAACACCATGTAGCTCCATTTGGAACATTTTTTTTGTTTTTAACTTGCTCTTGGAGTGTATGCATGTTACATTTCATAATAGTTGATGTTATCAATCCAGGAATATGCTCTTACTGCAAAAGGGATTCAGATGGTTTGTACAAATACAACTGGAGCAAACATAACCTCTGTAGTACTTAAAACACATGGAAGCGGATCACTCAAAGATAACATCATTACAGTATTTGGCATGAGCACTTTCAACTGGTTAGAACCTATGAGTCTAGTTATATATCAGATTCCTGCAAGGTGGATGGGTTTCTTTCTAAGTCGGGCAATGGTTGTGGATGAAATATAGATGACAGACAGTATTTTTTATAAATGGTCGGCCTGTTGACATGCCAAAAGTCACCAAGCTTCTGAACGAATTTTATAGATCTGCAAACTCAAAGCAATATCCAATTGCAATCATGAATTTTATTGTTCCAACCAAGGTGTACGATGTCAATGTAACACCAGATAAAAGAAAATTCTTTTTCTCTGATGAAGGCTCTCTTTTGAAGTCCTTAAAAGAAGCTTTGTTGGAGATCTATGCCCCACGTCTTGCTAGCTTTTTGGTACATGGACCTGAGGAGCTCACTCAGGGAGGAAACACCTCAAAGCTTTGTTCTCCTCATGGTAAGTCTTTTCACATTTTCATTAAAGCAAGCATCGCCAGATAACACTGATAGCAAACAAGAAGCATACAGTGAGAAGCAACATGTAGATGTTGACACTGATATCCATGAATGTGAAGAGACATTGAGATCCTCACCTGCTGTTAAACCAATAAATCTGGATGATTATAGTTTATCAAAGACAGACTTTACACTTAAATTTCATGGTATGAAGAAAGCTGACACCTTTTTTGGGAGCTATAGCTATAGTAAGAAGCATACAGCTATAAGTAACAGCACTAGAAATAATTCGCAGGCAACATCATACAACTCAACAATGCAGAAAGGAACATATTCACCTCATTCTGCAGGTGCTGTCCAGTCGCTGCTTACAACATAAAGCATGAGAGCATCAGCAGCAATACTTTATCTGAGGTCCCTGTTCTTAGAACTACAAAAATAGATATGGAGGATTTGATTTCAAGATTGAATCAAGAAATAGCAGTTAAAGATTATCTTACAAAAAAGGTATAAGTGTGAATATGATTTTTTAATTTAAAAATGTATATATATTTATGGAACTTTGATGTTTATATAATAGGTGAATGATTTGGAGGAGGAGCTTGAAACTACAAAAGTGACAAGTAATGAAAATCTTCATCAAGCAATTTTAATGGAAAGAGAAAGAGTTACTCAAATGCAGTGGGATATGGAAGAACTTAGAAGGAAATCACTAGAAATGGAGTTTAAATTGAAGTCTCAATCTCAACAGGTTTTATTATTATTATTATTATTCCATTTTGTTTTTTTATTAAACTAAGTTTACAACAATTATTAACAAGTTAAAGATTTTTCAGGATGAAAACGTGGAAATAGAAGAAAAAGACGAGTTACTTAAGGAATTGGAAGATACCAAAAGTAAACTTGACCAATTGTCAAAGAAACATCAAGAATTAGAAATTAAATCAAAAGCAAATGTGAAAATTCTTGTGAAAGAGGTTAAATCACTTAGGAGCTCACAAGCTGAATTGAAACAACAACTTAATCAATCAGTTATCGAGAAATCAGAGGCAGAGGTAATTTTTATTTTTGGAATAGAAGAGTAAAATGGCGATTTTAATTTTTTTGAAATTTGTGGTTAACAGAAACTAGTGCAACAAGAAAAGGAAAGAATGGAAGTTGGTAGAATGAAGTTGCTTCATGAAGTTGCTCCCGTAACTTTCACTTTTTTTCTTCTTCCGATCTGCCTCGTCATCTCCTGAATCATAAATAAATAATTAAAAATGCAAATTTTTAAAATAAAAATATAAAACATAACGAAGTTATTAGCTGATACCATCCATGAGCATTCTGCATAACTCAGCAGCTTCATCTTCATTTTCCACATCAGCTTGAGCTTGTGAAGGCATGCGTCTCATTTTAAGGCCTTTAACACGAGCCACCAAATTATTAGAATCATAATTATTATTATCCTCTTCATCTTCATCACATTCTTCAGCATCTAGAAGGTTCTCAAGATCCCCTGCAAATGAACCCCTCTGGTGATTGATTACATAAATATAAACACAAACTGTTAATATATCGCTATTATGGGTAATAAAAAAGTAAAGTAAAGAGTAAAATTTCACCTGAAAATCACAAAATAGCTTTTCCTTTGAGAGATAAAACAATCTCCTCAGCATCTACATGAAGCTTGCTCTCTTTCCCTCCCAAGCGTTTCAATAAAATTTTCATTGACCCTTTTGTAAGCAGCTTTCCTTGTTCTTTAAGTGCCACCAAATTTTCATGAGGATACCATAAAGCTTTTAGCCTATGAAAATAGGCTATATCTTTACTGCAAATACAGTAAAAGAAAAATGAGTTTACAACAGAGTAAAAGAAAAATGACACTGGAGATTTTGTGGTTACTTGCTAAGTTTGGCTTTCATTGTCAGTAGCTTGAGAGCAGGTATGGAATGCAAGAATTTAACACCATGTGATGTGTGTTTCTTAGAATGTGATTTCAACTGTTGGGAAGATTTCCTGTTGGAATAAAATTTGACATTAGCTATATTAAATCTCCCCCGTCCATAACCATGTAATAGCTCCAATGAATCTGGTGCTGGCTCAGCAGACCGAGTTGTGATCATGGCTCCAACATGAAGCTAAAGACCATCTCCATGTTTGTTATCCAATATTTCAAAAAGCATTTGTTCATCTTGAAGATCAAGAAGTAATTTCGGCTTTGTAACAGATTGATTTGGGTCCCACACTATTCGATCCATCCAAGATCCATCAAGAACATCTTTATTGCGTAAAGTGAGTTTGTTGAATCGTTTAATGATGTCACTTTCAACTGTTGTATCTTTATTAGCATCATCTGTTTCCAATCGTGATTCTAATCTCAAAAGTTGGGGATGGTATATGGTTTCTTCAGATGAACTGTATGATTTTGGAGATTTTCTTCAACCTCTGTCCATTGGAGACATGAGAATGAAAGAAGGAAAGAAATTACAGTGATTTTGAAAGAAATTTGAATTCAAGAAAAAACCCTTTTTTATTTTATTTTTTAATAGACAAAAAAGCATATAGACAGAATTCTCATTTGCAAGTTCTGGATTGCTTGCAAGATCTCTCACATGCGACAAATTCAGGGTTAATACAAGCGGACTAATTGAGACAAAAAGTTGGACCCAAAATAGTATACATGTGCATGTGTGTGGTGCTGTGTGCGACTGTGAACAACTATCATAACGAGATTAAGAAGCAGAAAAGTAGGGGAGATAGATGTCTCACATGAGCAATAAAAAAAAACGAGAACAAGGGAGATGGAACGGAGCGTACCTGAGATGCTTAGAGAGTAGAATTGGGGATCAAGGAACGAGGAGGAAATCATGATTAATATCCGTATCGCTTTTCCAGTTAGGGTTTTACAGAGGAGAATACGAGAAGAATCAAAATCGAAATCAGAGGTATGAATAAAGAAGAAATAAGACCCTGGATCTTTTCTTTGACATTCTCGATGGTGTCGTTGCTCTCATCAAAATTAAAGAGGGCTAAATACAAAGTTGGAGATAGAGATCATATGAACTCCAAACTGACAACGGAGGGTGTTAAATATATAACAAAAAATAGAGGATGGCGGTGGGAGACACTCGGAAGGGTCGAAGAATCAGCAGATGGCGGAAGGTGAACGGAGGTTTGAGAATCGAGAGAGAAGAAAGAACGAAAGAAAGAAAGGGGGTTTTAGGCGGGGATGAGCTATGGTTTTCAGCCGGTGGAAACCAAGCGGGCTTTTTAATTTTTGGATTTCATTTCCCCCTCGGATAAAGCGTGCGTTTCATTAAAAAATTATAAAACGACATGGTTAGACGACACACATTTTATTTAAGGTGCCCTCCGTGTTTTTTTATTTTTTTTAATAGACACTAATTTAAGGGCACGCAAAAATGCGTGTCTTATATGCTTCATATTTTGGAAAACTAACATCAATTTTTAAGGCACTCACAGATGTGTGTCTTCTATCAGCGCGTGTCATTGATTGCGCGTCGGAAAATGTTGTTTTTCTAGTAGTGCTCCCTACAACGGTTGGACTCAAACAAGAGTTGTGAAATAAGGCTAAACCTAACCTTATGAAATTATTTAGTCCTCGTAATATGTAACTTAGCGTATTCATTTAATATTTAGTTAAAGATAGCTAGAACTCCTAAAAGCACAAAGCGAGCAACATCTGAGCATTGAGTAAACAAAACCAAGCATATCTTGATCAGGCCATCATATTACTGACTAATCAGTACTAGCATGCAGTTTAATAAGCTCATACAGTAGGCATACAAGGCATCCTTCCTATATCCTTAGCCGTAATCTAGCATGCAGTACTAATAATCATATCATATCATAACAAACATGTATCGGTAATTTGGGAGAACTTACTTGAGCTCGGCGGATTGCATGCACCACACCCTTTTCTCTTTTCAAAATCTATTTTATAAAAGTGGTTTTATTTTGAAATTTTTTATACCAAGTCCCCAGTTTGAGTTCAGACACACCCGAGAGTGTGCCCGAATCCCTCAAACCAAGTCTCTGATACCAATTTGAAACATCCTAAAAATCATGACCAAAAATTTCATTTTTAATTATTAAATAAACCATAGTTATTAAAATTATTCCATGCAAAAACATAAGTCATAGTAGCAAATCAAAATATCATATCAAAATATCAGAGTGAACATCCCATGCTAAACATCATGGTGTGTGCAATGCAGTCATCCCGAGCTCTTCCCTTTGCTACCGGAAGTACCTAAAACCAAAATTCGAAACTGTAAGCACGAAGCTTAGTGAATTTCCCCCAAAATACCACATAACATACACATAATCATGCTACTAGGAGATACGGACCATGCCCACACTCAAGGAGATACGGGCCCCGCCCACACTCAACTAACTAGGAGATACGAGCCTCGCCCACACTCCAAGAATTATAAGATATGGGCCTCGCCCACACTCAACTATCTATGAGATACGAGCCTCGCCCACACTCAAGTAATAATGAGATACATGCCTCACAAACACTCAGCTAATAATGAGATACGGGCCTTGCCGACACTCAACTAATAATGAGATACGAGCCTCACCCACACTCAGCTAACTAAGCACACATACAAGTATCACACAGATAACAAGTATAATCAAAATCTACCAATCCATTTCATATTCATACTCAAGCAATGCTAAGATACGGGCCCTGCCCATACTTAGCTACTAATCAACACGCATAACATATACAGGCCAACATTGGTGCCTTCGACTCATTCAATCCAAGGGGAAACCCACCTTAAATGTCGAATGATAGCTGAAACGTCTCTTCCCGGAATTAGCTCTACTCACTCCCTAAACCAAAACAACCCCTTAAATACCATTCCATACTCATAACCCTTAAGGGTCGACTCTGGTCAAGTCAAAGTCAAAGTCAACGCTCCGAGTTGACTTAACTCGTCGAGTTCCCATGAATCATAGAATCGTGAAATCGCGATCCAACTCGTCGAGTTTTCCTCCAACTCGCCTAGTTCCTCTTTCTTAATAGAAACGAGACTTTCCCAATATAACTCGTCGAGTTTCCTTGTGGACTCATTGAGTTCCTTCAACAGAATCGAGAACATTCCAAACCAACTCGTCGAGTTCCTTTATGGACTCGTCGAGTTCATCTGTCTATCAACCCTTCTTAATGCATTAAGCCCTTATTCATCAGATCTACACCCTAAACTCCATATCCAAACTGGAAATACTCCAAAAAGGGTAAACTTTCCAACTTTACCCATTAAGGTCCTCTCCTAACACATAAAACTCAAACCCCAAGTCAAAATGGATTAGATCCAACTCCAAAAGCCATCAAAACTTCAAGATAGACCATGAGTTCATAGATCTGGACTTAAGGGACAAAATGATCACATAAAGTTTTAATCTTTATCCACATGCATGGCCATAAAAGCTTCAAAAGACCAAAATGATGGTCTAAAGGTTGCATGGGGCTTCCATGGCCATAAAGTTGGCACCTTTTTGCCATGAAACCCCTTAAGACCCTAGATCTGAAGTATTCCCCACTTGGGACGTCCAAATCCAAAGAATCATGTCATTTTGACCAAAACTAGCAAAATAACCCCAAAAAGGAGATCTGAGCAACTACAAGGAAAGGTTTAAGCTTTATACCAGCACAATGTCGTGGATGAGGCAATGATTCTGGTTCTATAAGCTCCTTCTTGTGTCTATAAGCTCTTCCTTGTTCCAATAGCTTCAAATACACACCAAAACACTCAAAAATAGCTCACAAACACTCAAATGGCTTGAGGGTTTTCGAGATTTAGGGTTTAGGACTTGGAGGCGGGAAATGAGTCCAACATGAAAGGTTTAAGACATTTAAATAGGGTGCAAACCTCGGAAATTAGGGTTTCATATCCGCTAGCCTACTCATCGAGTTGAGGCTTCCTAACTCGTCAAGTAGATTACTTAAATTACTCGGACCTTATGATCTCTACTCGACGATTTTAGGGCTCCCAATCCATCGAGTTGCTCTATTATATGGAGTAACTTCAAATAAAATACATACCAGGAACCAGGCGTTACACACCAAGATCAAAATTAAGTAAAGGAGGCTACGGTTTTTGAATGGGGATATGGAGGCTGAAGGAGATGACCTCAAATGGGAGTTAAGGTGCTTAAATACAGGAGAAACCCTAACAGTATATGGGCTTGGGCTGCTATAGCTGCCACGCCGTGGTAGCCTTCAAAAACACGTGTTTCATTACATTTCATGCTACGTCATGGGCATCCATGCCCTACGTCGTGGATGAGGGGTTTCTCCAAAAACCTTATTTTGATTCCTTAAGTCTCATCCAACCTTCTTCGGGAAATGGGTTTTACAACTCTCCCCGACTTAAATTGGATTTCTCCCTCGAAATTAGTTCTTGAAGTTTCCTTTCAAGTACCCTCTAAACCCCTTGTGTGTCATTCAAATCCGACTCCTTTGACATGAGTTGAGATCATTTTGTCACACCCCAAAACCGGAACGACGGAAACGCTCTGGGGTGGATGACGTCATGTCAAGTATCACAACACATGCATTATAGTAATCAAAGTACAACAAAACATTGCATTAATAGTAATAGTTATACATTGTTTTCATTACATTACATCAAAGTAATACAGGCAAATGTAATAAGAACAGCATGGTACTAAGCTATCTTCATCAACAGCTCTGGGGATGTACCCGTCTAATGCTAACCTGATAATACAAGTTATTTGAAAAGCGAGTATCAACATTTTTACAAATGCTGGTGAGTTCATAAGTAATTAGTGACATTTTATTCAAATAACTTTATAATGTAGTAGTTTAAGAGTTCACAGTGAATTAGAGTTCTTTCCAGAAAATCCAATATTTTCTTTAATAAAAGCAGCCTTCTACCAAGACTGGACGGAGTTATGTGGTAAAAAGTAGTTTTCCCTTAATCGTTATCATTATCAAAATACTAAATTTGATTATTAAAGGAAGCAAGAGAAGTCAGGGAAATAACATATGCCTCAGCAGTGAGGACCGCTGACTAAGGCAAAGGAATCATAGACTCCAGGAGAGTATCGAACGAACGACACGCCTGGT